TCTCGTCTGCCGCAGGGCGGTGGTGCTGTCGGTAGGCCGGCTGTGTGTACCTAGCCTGATCTGACCCATCTCTCCTGCCGCAGGGCGGTGGTGCTGTCGGTGGGTCGGCTGCCGCTGCCGGCCGGCTGTGCGTACCCCGCCCCATCTGACCCATCTCTCCTACCGCAGGGCGGTGGTGCTGTCGGTGGGTCGGCTGCCGCTGCTGGCCGGCTTCCTGCGCGTCCCTCCGGACGTGTACCGTCTCGGCTGGGACCAGGAGCAGCAGCAGCGCCAGGGCCGCTTCAGCCCCGTCGCCGTCCATCATCTGCAGGAGGCGGACGTGCTCAAACAGTACATCCTCAGGTGAGCTCACACAGCGACGGTCAGTCGCCGGCCGTCAAGCGGTCGTTGGTGTCATGTTGTGTACCAGGTCAGTCGATGGGGATAGAATCATGCCGTGACTTTGTGTGTGTTTGTCGTGTTTGATCGAAAAAGCTGCACAGGGGGCAGGTAAGTGCATGCTCGGGTAAGCACCAGCTTTGAACGGGTGTTGTTACACTCGTCTACAATGAGACCTACTGCGCTTGCACTGCGTTAAGTTTGCCACCGGGGAAAACCGTGTCCCTGGTTAGATATCGCCCATGCTGACGGCCGGTTTGTATCGCCGCGCCGGCCGCCCCGTGCCCGGCTTCGGTAGACGGAGCGCCGCTCTCTCTCCAGGGTGAACACGCTGGGCTGGACGGGCCGGCGCGAGTTCGAGGAGACCTGGATGACCTACCTGTCCGTGCTCAACGCCGCCACCGAGGACGACACCTCGAACCGAGAGGAGCTGGCCGTGCTGCTCCAGGTCAGTAGCCGCGCCACAGACAGGGCGGTCGGACATCCTGTGTAGTGAGACCTTCGAGTGCGCGCGTCACGCCTGCTGTGTGACAGTGCGCTGCGCGGGAGAGCCAGGGAGAGTGCAGGAGCTGGACCAGCCTTCAGATCCTGCGTTGGGTCTTCGTGTGCTGGGACGAGCGCCCGCGCTCAACGAGTTCATTAAAGTCGGAACGTGGCAGTGATGTCATCGAAGCTACCTCTCTCCCCTGATGTCAGTATAATGCAGCGGCATCAGACCTGTCCACACGGCGGCGGTGTCTGAGAGGCCGCGTGGCCTCGGGGGCGGTGAGCGCCCCACAGTCCGCGCGGCCTCGGAGGCGGTGAGCGCCCCACAGTCCGCGCGGCCTCGGAGGCGGTGAGCGCCCCCCGTGCAGCCTCGGAGACGCTGTGCTCCGAGCCCAGCGGCTGACGGCGGCCTCCGTGTTCGTGTCGTCGGCAGACCAACTGTCTGGCGGTGCGCGGCATCACGTCGCTGCTGCTGCAGACGCTGACGGCCATGGTGCCGGGCCACCCGGGCGTCAGCGCGACACTGCACCACCCCCGCCACCAGCCGATCGTCCTCGTGCCGGGCAGGTGGGCCAGTGGCCGGCCGCGCACGGCCAGGTCTGCTCATGACAAGGCGGGGCGATGCGTGTGGATGGGTGGTGTGAGGTCGGTGCGATGCGTGTGGATGGGTGGTGTTAGGTCGGTGCGGTTTTAGTCGGGGTTGATCGATGCGACGCGGTGGACGTCGTGGTGTGTGGTTGTGATTTTCACTGTAATTTGTTATGGTTTGCGTTGGATTAGACGTTGGAAAATATCTTAGAAGAAGCGTTTGCATCTTGCAGTTTTTCTATAAATTAAACGTGTTTTTTGGTTTATCCCCGCAGCTCTATCTTGCACCTGCATCACACGCTGCAACAGCTGGAGGTCGCCGTTGACGAGTCGCCGCTGCTGCCATCTATGTCGTTCGCGCGTCAGCTAAACTTGGAGAGGCGCCATGACGCGGGATTGTACGGGCACGGGCAGTTGTCGCTGCGATACCTACAGGGCGTCATCAGTGGCAACGGTGAGCGCTGCCAGCCGCCCCCCGCCACCCTGCTTCCCTCGCCGTGGGGGTGTAAAACGCGCTGGTTACGGTAACTCAAGGGACACTGTAAGAACTTTTCTGTTGCCCTTTTCTTCCTGGTATCTGCCCCACTTCTCCTGCCTACCTCGAAGTCAGGATAAGTGGTTGGTTCTGACTACCAAAGAATCAGTCCAATGCCAATAGCATTGACCCTTCACTTTGACGAACTTGAATGCAGCCAACCAGGGTGTAGGAGAAGTCACATGCACTGAGCGCAGTTGCCATTCACGCTGGGGACTGGAGCGTCCGCCTTCCCCGGCACTGAAGCGGGTGACCAGCCCGGCGCGGGCTTCTGCCTGGCGGTTTGGCTGGGGTCACAGCCCGGGTAATGACCGCACGTGCAGCGCCAGCTCCACCACTCCGCCGCCCGCTGACGCTCGCGGCGCCGCTGTGTCGCAGACGGGGCGCACAGCGGCCGGGACGCGGCGCTGGCGGCCGCCGGGCTCGACATCAATTCGTGCCTGGTGTTCCTGCTGCAGCTGTACGCCCAGTGGATGGCGCCGGAGGTCAGTGCGGTGTCGCCGCCGCGCTGAGGTGCGGGCCGCGCACCGCCCTCTCGGGATACCGTCACCATAGAATGTGGATGCAACTGAAATAGCCATCTTGAAGATCATTCGGTGCAGTTTATAGTCCTGCCCTTCTTATTAGAATTTGTATAGACTATTTTGGGGGAGTCTGTTTTAAGGTCACCCAGGCATCCATGACGCCAAAATGGCATCAGTTTAAATTTTGCCATTCCATTGGCCTTGCAGCGATCAAGGCCGATAAAAATATCATTGTCGAGTCCTTCATAGCTGGCGTTCGTGAGCACGACTTCCGGGTGTGACGGCCGTCAATTTGCTCCCAATCGATGTTGTGCGAGGTACGATGACGTAATCAAACAGCGAGGTGCTGAGGAGCATATTTACTAACTAGAGAAATTTCGTTGTTCAGAGCAGACTTTCCCACGTAACAGCATGCCAGCAGTTAAACGTGAGGTTATTTCATCATATCTAATGTGTGCTCCAATCGTATGTGGAACATTATCTTTGAGTTTCCCCACGCACTTCCTACTTGGACGTGTCTCGGTTTTTTTTGGCGTTCCTACGCTCGGCTTCGTTATCTCCGGCGAGCGCGGCGTGCTCTGGAAACTACACTTGTGCCGGCCGCCGCCAGATGGGAGTGCCTCTGCCGCTGCTGACGGAGACGGTGCGCTCGGCGGTGCTGCTGTCGGACCTGCTGACCGAGCGGTCCCAGTTCGAGTGGCTGCTGGCCGGCTGCGTGGCGCTCTACCAGGTCCACCCCATCGACGACGAGGTCATGCTGCAGTACCTGGTGCTGGGGCTGTGCAAGGCGGCGGCCGTCCTCGACTCGGTGAGTGAGCGGCGACCGCCGGCCTGGACTGGGTATGTGGGCAGGGCGGTGCTTCCAGCTTCGGGGGTGGACCATCTGTGAGATGGCCGGTGTCAAGTCTGGATGGATGAGGGGGGGGGGGATGAGATACTTTTCTGCCTGGTTCGTTACAGTGGGTGGCTCCTATTAGGCGTTCCAAGTGACGCTAGACACTCGTAAGCCATGTGACGCCGGCCGAATCCGACACGAGTCGTCGCCACCGTCCGCGGGGACGGCGTGACTCAGTCGGGGGCGTGTCATCCCCATGGCCATGTGCGGAAGGTCATGAGGTTCGAGTCTAGCTCCCAGCTGGGCACTCGGCCACCCACCACAGTCTGCGTGGGAGACATAGCCGCATAGCAGACATGTGTGACCTTGTCACCCGGCCGCCAGAGGGAGGCCACGGTGGTGGAGACGGTGCGCCGCGCGGCCGAGCAGGGCCTGCGCTGCACGCTGCCGCCGGCGCGCGTGGCCACGCTGCACGGCTGCCTCTACCTGCTGCAGCTGGGGCCGGGCGAGCTGAGCAGCGCCGTGCTGCCGCCGCTGGTCGAGTTCATCCAGCTCGGCCTGCAGCAGATCGCCACGTGAGTCGACGCTGCTGGCCGCTGGTCCGCCACACGGCCGTGCGGTGGGGCGGGCCGCTCGTGGTCCGGCCGGCCGACGTGAGCCGAGCAGTCGATGCGTCCCCGTCCCACAGCAGCTACAACGCACCTGACCCGACCGCACGACGCCTGTTCAGCACCACCTGCTGTCACGGACAGCTTCACGTCACGTCGCGAACAGCGTCCTTCGCTGTCCCTGTTTGTTTGTGCGGCCTAATGCCCGTGTATATCGGGTTTTGTTTGTCGTCCGGCCGTCGCTGTCGCAGTCCGGCGTGGATCACCGCCGGCGCTGTCGTAGTCCGGCGTGGATCACCGCCGTCGCTGTCGCAGTCCGGCCTGGATCACCGCCGGCGCAGCGTGCAGACAGTCCCGGGAGGCTCTGCTCCATGCCGGCCCGGGTCGCTCACCGCCCTCCGTCCACAGCGTACCGGGATACAACGACGACTACGACCTGGCCGTGTGGGCGGCGGCCGTGTACGTGATGCAGCACTACGACGACGGCCCGGCCGACTCCGAGTTCTCGCCGGCCGTGCTCCAGCTGGCTATCAGCCTGGCCGGCGCCACGCGCTCCGCCGCCCTCTACGAGGCGATCATGAAGGTTAGGGCGGCAGGGGGGGGGGGGGAGGACGAGGCAGGGCAGAATGTCAGGCATGCGGGCGGGGTATGGGGTGAGAGCGGCAAGGATCGCTGGTGAATTTTGTGGCTGGGGTTGTTTTTGTGACGTAGGCTTAACGTTCTAACCGTTGTTCACCGCTGACGCCAGCTGGGTTGCAGCTTATAGAGCGTTTGGTGGTATTTCATTTGCTGACGCTTCCGTGTTCTGCCCTTGAGTGTCAAGCGTCTGGTGGTGTGCGATCTGCTGACCCCCCTGTCCCATACTACAGGGTATGGTGTGTGATCTGCTGACCCCCCTGTCCCATACTGCAGGGTATGGTGTGTTATCTGCTGACCCCCCTGTCCCATACTGCAGGGTATGGTGTGTTATCTGCTGACCCCCCTGTCCCATACTGCAGGGTATGGTGTGTGATCTGCTGACCCCCCTGTCCTGTGCTGCAGGGTATGGTGTGTGATCTGCTGACCCCCCTGTCCATACTGCAGGGTATGTGTGCGATATGCTGACCCCCCTGTCCCGTGCTGCAGGGTATGGTGTGATCTGCTGACCCCCCTGTCCCATACTGCATGGGTATGGTGTGTTATATGCTGACACCCCTGTCCAATACTTGCAGGTATATGGTTGGTTATCTGCTGAGCCCCACTGGTCCCATTACTGCCAGGGTATGGTGGTGTATCTGCTGACCCCCCTGTCCCATACTGCAGGGTATGGTGTGTTATCTGCTGACCCCCCTGTCCCATACTGCAGGGTATGTGTTGTTATCTGCTGACCCCCTGTCCCATACTGCTAGGGTTTATGGTGTGTCTATCTGATGACACCCCCCTGTCCCGTGCTGCAGGGTTATCCGAGCGTATGGCGAGGGTTAGGTTTGATCTCGCTGACCCCTTCTGTCCGTGCTGCAGGGTGTGGTGTGGTCTGCTGGCCCCCCTGTCCCGTGCTGCAGAGTATGGTGTGTGATCTGCTGACCCCCCTGTCCCGTGCTGCAAGGTATCGAGCGTTTGGTGGTTTGTGATCTGCTGATCCCTCTGTCCCAGGCTACAGGGTATCGAGCGTCTGGTGGTTTGTGATCTGCTGACCTCCCTGTCCCGTGCTGCAGGGTATCGAGCGTCTGGTGGTGTGCGGCGTGGTGAGCGGCTCGACCGGTCCGCTGGAGCTGGCGGTGGAGCAGCTGCGCCAGCGCCGCGGCCCGCAGCAGCTGCACGCCCTCTCCCTGCTCACCGCCTGCCTCTTCTCCGTGCCGACCCGCCAGCTCAGCCCCGAGATGTTCGTCCACGTGCTGGAGAAGTACTCCGTCGTGTTCACCAAGTAAGGCTGACTCGTCAGGTTCCGTGGCGTGTTGGTCAAGTGATTCACAGTGATCCGCTGGCCTTAGCGTTGACTCCCACGCGCCAGTTCACCAGCAGGCGGAGTGCCCGAGTGAGTGGGGATATGTGCGTCTCAGAGGAACGGCTGTCCTCGCTGTAGGCGTATTTCACGCGCGGATCATCCGGTAAGGCGTTGCCGGTGTACCTTACCGTACGTAAGGCGGGAGCTGGACGAGGCCGCCCGGCCATGCGGCTGTGCCGTGACGAGCGACTCGCGCGTCCGCCAGGATGAAGTCTTCGCCGGCCTTCCTGTCGACGGTGCTGTGCGGCACGACGACGTCGGGCCTGCTGCGGCTCTGCCCGCCCTCGGAGCTGATGAACCGCGTCATCGGCGAGTTCATCTCGCCCCACCAGAGCCACGCGCCGGCCCTGGCCGACACCGTGTTCCAGGTGCGACGCAGTGACCTCTCGGGGTCTGCAGCCGCGCGACGCTGTACGTAGAGGCACAGACACCGCTGAAACGGACGGACCTAAAGATGCCCCAAACACAAACCTGCTCGGCCAGGCTCACGGAGTCGCTAAAGTTATGAATGTGACTGTTTGCCAGGCCGTGTTGTGTGCGCCGCCGGCGGCTGTGTGTCGGCCCAACGTACCACCCGTCAGCCGAGAGTGACACGACCCGCCTCCAGGTGTTCGAGGCGTGCGTGTCGCAGAGTCAGGAGGCGCTGCTGCGGGACTGGGTGCTCTTCAGCCTGCCCAACTTCGCCACGGTGCGGCCGGCGGCGCGCGCCACCTGGCGCCTGGCCTGCTTTCTGGCGGGCGCGAGCCGGCGGCCCTGGCTGCGCGCCGCCTTCCCGCTGCTGCAGGTACGCACGCCGCGCGACGGACGCGGACGCCGACGTGGCGCACGTGCTTAGTGGGGGGCGCACCTCGTGTGCTGCCCCACGGCGGGGGCGGACGCCACGGTCGGTAGCTCACGTCCGGGCTGTGGCGAGGGTGAGGAGCGTGATATGACAAATGCGAGCTGTGTTACATGCAATGTATTGGTCCCGTCTTTCCTCCTTTTGTTTAGATGGGGCCGTAGCGTTTGCCCTGCACTCATGGAGCAGGACGCCTTGCGGTACTGAATGTTGCATGGAAAAATCGCGTTTGTTCGGACATAATCTCTATGTTTCTTTGATTCTCTCCAAGGCATTTGCCGCCCAGTTGTTCCCTTGTTTGCGCTGCGGAATCTGAGCGTGGTCAATGTTTGGCGGACTGCGCGATGGACCACTCGTTAAAGTTATCCTGGAAGGTTTTCGAGATAGTGCTCCGTGTCTCGTGACAGCCATGACAGACAGTTATGACATGGCAGTCATGACAGTCTCATGACAGTCACCGCCAACCGCACTTCCCAACCTTGGCCCGTGTGTTCGCCGGTTTGAAGCGACGCTCCAGTCCACACGTCGGCTGACCTCGCCAGGCCGTTCGCCGTTTGCCGATCTCACGTCTGGGCGTCTGCTGTCTGACTTGGGACCGGGTCATGTGTGAGAGTCTGCTGACTGACCTGGGCCGGGTCACGTCTGAGAGTTTGCTGGCTGGCTTGGGTCCGGGTCACCTCTGAGCATCCGTTGACTGACCTGGGCCGGGTCACGTCTGAGAATCTGTTGACTGACCTGGGCCAGGTCACGTCTGAGAGTTTGCTGGCTGACCTGGGTCTGGGTCACCTCTGAGCATCTGTTGACTGACCTGGGCCGGGTCACGTCTGGGCGTCTGCTGACTGACCTGGGCTGTGTCACGTCTGGGCGTCTGCTGGCTGACCTGTACCGGGTCACGTCTGGGCGTCTGCTGAGTGACCTGTACCGGGTCACGTCTGGGCGTCTGCTGCCTGACCTGGGCCGTGTCACGTCTGGGCGTCTGCTGACTGACCTGTACCGTGTCACGTCTGGGCGTCTGTTGGCTGACCTGTACCGGGTCACGTCTGGGCGTCTGCTGACTGACCTGTACCGGGTCACGTCTGGGCGTCTGCTGACTGACCTGGGCCGTGTCACGTCCGGGCGTCTGCTGGCTGACCTGGGCTGGGTCACTCTGAGCATCTGCTGAGTGACCTGGACCGGGTCGCGTCTGACCGTGGGCCGACGTCCGTCCGCAGCGCTGCGGGGACGAGGTGGATCTGCCCGGAAGCGAGTGTCCGCACCTGGCGGCTGTCTTCCTGGTGGCCGCCAGAGACTTCTACTCGCAGGTACGCACGCCTGCACGGCACGCGTGGGGGCTGCATGCGCGGGGGAAGGGAAGGGCCGGCACCAAACATTGTGAGCCGCGCAAAGTGTATTTTAAGCTGCCGGTGGCGCGGTGTGACAGACCAGCGATCAGCGACAGACCAAAATGTACGAAATTGATGTACCCGTGGGGGTGGAGGTGGGGGTGGGGGTAGTGCAAGCCAATAATGGTTTATTTTTCAAGTGCAGTGAGGGTCGGACAACGGGGGTCACCATAAGTGTTTTCTTTGGGGAGCGGGGCTCACCACAAAAGGCGCTTTTGTCAACCAGAGGCTTTTTTGTCTGTGTTCCCCATTGGCAAGGCTCTGACTACGGCCTGGCCCACACACAAAAGTAGATCAAGCCCTCTACGTGGAATGATGGGCAATAGATGTCCGTTCGGCCAATTCATACGTAAGGCAGGCAGCTTCCCGGAGGCCTTTTCCGCGGCGGTGTGGTGTAAGGGAAGATAATTCGAAAAATACCGTTGCAGTGTTTGACGTATGTCTTACACACCTATTAGTAGTAATGCTGATCCAGAAATATGCAGCAAAGCAGCCGTACGATCAGTTCGCAGTCAGTCATGCGGGAAACAGCCGGCCAGGGCAGTGGCCGCCGACGGTGGGCGGGAGCAGAGCCCAGATAAGGAATATATGACAGAATGGCCTTCATTCTGTGACTTGGTTTGTAAAGGAGAATCTTCGGTTTTATGGCTTTTGTCGCATTGTTTTTGGCAGTTTCAAGCTTCCGAATTTGTTTCCGCCTAAACTGCTGCGACGAGTCTTATCTCTTGAAAAGCAGTCAGTAAGATAAAAGTGTATGAAAAGTTTGTCGCACTGTGAGCCATCGATTTGCTTTCAAAATTTTCACCAGCATATGTACAGGCCGTATCTTGGTATCCACCCTGAGGAGGCAGGCTCCTCCTGAATGACCCGAAATACCTACCCGGTCGTGGAATTTCGCCTCCCTAGGAAAGAATGTTGTAATGGACGAATAATCCTGGGAAGCTGGACAGTCTCATTTGCTGAATGACAGATGAGTCGAATGGGCGAGATTGTGCACCACTGAGAAACAGATCTAGATTAATATCTTGCATAGTAACCGTGACATTTGAATAAAGAGCGATAACAGCCTTAATCTCTACACTCACACACACGCACGCACGCACGCACGCACGCACGCACGCACGCACGCACACCTTCGGTCATCGCGCTTACTTTCCAGAAAAAGTTCCTGAAGTACACCCTGAGTACCCCCCCCCCCCCCCCCAACACACACACTTTTTGAAACGTTTCTGCGCCTTTGAATTAGGTCCCTTTCTGGCCGGGGCGGGCTGGGCTGCGGGTTGCCTTTGAAGGAAAAGTTGTGTCTCTGGTCTACGTCGTCTGTCTGCATTGCTCGTTTCGTCACTAGTAAAATTAACGAAAGACCTTGGATTCCTGTTCAACTGGGCGCAAAAAAGTTTCGTGTTTGACAGAACTGTATACCTTCTACAAAGTTCGGAGACTGTTTTCAAACAGTAAAAATTTTGGAAACTAGCATATTACCAAATCACATCTATTTGCGTCAGCGCATAACTGCGCGACTAGACGGCTTCCCACATCATTTGATTCTGTATATAGGCTCTTTGAATATAATGCAATGCATGCTTCTAGGTTCCAGGACCTCATTTTCAACTTGTAATTATAGCTTATGTACATCTTGTCCTGGCCTTAAGCTAATGAACAATATAAGGATCCCATATTTCCCGGGATAGTTTTGTGTTGTTTCCTAGGTTGATATCCGAGAATAAAAACATCGTAAGAATAATCATCCGCACGCATTTCGTTTACACGTATGAAATGTCCCAACATATCTGAAGCTGATGGAATCATGGCTGTTTTTAGCCATCTTTTTGTTACTCGTTTCATGCATAACATTCTTCGTGTTTCATGATCACTGCGGACATCTAAATTAGCATGCGCGAGTACCTCACTAATGTCACTGGGTCCGGGAGTACGCTTGGCAGCAAGCCCTGCTTAGTGAATGGGCTCCTCGTAGGTACATTTCAAGACCCAGCGTGAAATTTATTAGCTATCATCACCACGACACCCTCACGGGCACTGAACTTTGTCATCGGTGCATCACACTTTGTTACCTGTGCATTGAACGCTTCGTTATCGCTGCACCACGAGTGCTCTCAACTCTCGCGGCTCTCACTGTAGGTTCAGATCGCGCTGGGTGGATGGGACGCGGGTGTGCGTGACCACACGATGACCGCTTTTGAGCGACCTCGAAATGGCGCGGCACTCGCGGGACGTGTTCGGACCGGCCTGAGTCGGCTGTGCTCGCTGATGACGCGCTCCAACGCGGCGGCGGCGTCCGGCTGTTCTCCCCTTTGGGGGCCGGGTGCCGACACCTGTGGTGGGGCCTCGATCAGCTGTGCCACCGACAGAGGTGACTGACCGCCAGCACCCGGCCCCCGACGCGAGGGCGACACGTGCCGACAGACGGAACGTGTCGCGTACCATTGACGGAAACGTAATGCCTGCATGATGTTTATAGCTGAAACTAACCATCAACGATCACTGGCTGTTCAGCACTGACGACGGCTACTGCCAGTTGTTTTCCACGGATTGACGCGCACACTCCCTTCCGCCGGGACTCGGCCGATTACGCTGTCGTGGCTCGCCGGCCGCGTCTCCTGGTGACGCGGCGTTGTCGGGGCGGCGCCGGCGGTGTCGGCAGGCGTCGGGAGCGGCGGCGGCGGCGAGCGCCCCCGCTGGTGCGGTCGGGTCAGCTCGGGGCAGGCGGATTGATGTTGACCGGTGTTCCGTTTACAGCTGTCGGAGCCCCAGCGGCGGCAGTTCTTGGCGGCCATCGAGGCGCCAGCCTCCGGCGGCGACCCCACGTACAAACGGCTCCTGCTGTCGCTTACAGATGGCAGCACTGATGAAGCCAGCGGTTGAGGGCTCGCCAGGTCTAGCATGCTCCTGTGATAGATACCTAGTTTTGAGAAACATTGAGGTGTTATCGTTGTGATTGTGCGGCCGTTTCTCGCACGTAGCGTAGGTCATCTTTGGTGAGCCGTGCGAACGGCGTGATTCATCGTATAGGTGCGAGGCCAGGGTTATGTTCACTTGTGTCACCTTCCGTGCCAATGTACTGATATGAATGCACCAATTGGGACAGAACTGGAGCTTATCAACGGAGAAAAATGTTATATTTATTCTAGGAATGGGCCTACTCCATTCACCTGTTACAGGAGATCTGTGGGGTGACATAAGCATGACTAGTAATTCCGCAGTATTCGAAGCGGCACAGTCTTCACGTGCGCCGTGGGGTCTTGCGAGGCGCGGTGCTAAAGATGGCCGTCCTGGGGCGTCCTGCGCTGCGCTGCGGAGCAGACCGCTCCCTGATGCCAGATCATGGGGCATCCGTCCTGTCGGGGTCTGCGGCACGCGTCATCAGGTCACCAGACGCCCGTCGTGGCGACGAGGTCCCCGTGCCGCGCGGGCCTACTCGCTCGTGTGCCAGGCGGGGCGGCAGCAGTCGTGTCTTCACGTGCGCGATGCGGCACATGTACTTCTCACTCCCGCGTGCCGCTGTGGCGGCGCCGAGAGACAGTGAGGGGTTCTGTACCTCGTGTCCTACCTAACCCCGTACTTTATTCGTGCCGTCTGCCCGGACCGGTGTTTGTGTTTCGTCCGCACGACATGAGACGAATGGTGTTTCCGACGCACGTCCGATACATTCCACGTTTGTTTGGTGCTGTGATACACGCCCGTTTATTGACAGCGAGTGATGGCCGCTGCCTGGTCGTACTTTGTCGGACGACGCTGGCTAACCCCCGGTTTCTCTTTAATTCCTCTCTAGCTGTGGGCAGTGCAGTGCCCTACCCGAACAATGACTGGTGAGCCACGCTAGGGGCTGTTGGGGTAGCATGTTTCAATTATCCCTCTGACGTGGCGCGTGTGGCGTGTGACAAACCAACGGGATTATGTGCTCTCGTACGTTTTGGTGGTGCCGATGTTTTCGCTGAAAGCCAATATACGTGTGTGTGTGTGGAACGTGTCCGACGCACTGTTTCATGTGGCTGTGGTCGCAGTGTGATAGTAATAATGCTCCCTGCTAAGCCGGGCACGCTGCGATGTTTCTGAGAACGAAGACGGTGTGTTATTTCCAACCTCATCGGTTGATCCTCGTTGTGCCTGTCGTTGCAAAGCAACACATGTTAAAAAGATGTACCTGCAACACGTTGCATGCGAAAGCGATCGGAAGTTCTGCTTTAAGTTCGTTTGCAACGTGAGTCTGGTCAAATTTGAGGTTTGTTACGGGAGACCTTCGGTGGCTATCATCGCGATGCTGGGGCCTTCGCTTGATGAGTGCAGTTACAAGTATTGAAGCCACTAGACCAATGCAGACAAGTCAAACGTGCGCTCCAAATCGCGACTTTGCGAGTCCCGCATTGTACAAGCATCCAATGTACGCGTCCGGTTCTGCCGCCCAGCTCGTCGCCCTTCGCCCTTCCCCTCCTCCCCTACGGCGGCGATGACGTCACGGTCGCATCCTAGAGGTCACGACCTGGCGAGTCGCTACCGGGCGTCCGAGCGATCGCCGCCCGCATGGCACCGGGCACTCTCGCTTCCAACGGACGACGCTTTGAGGGGACGGCCTGTTTGCCGCGTGCGCTGCCGGTACCGTCCTTCGTCGCGGTACGCGCCTGACATCGGAGCCTGGTGTTCGTCGCGCGTCGTTGCGGTCGAAGTGGGAAGCTGCGGGTTCGTGGCAATGCTAACTTTCTGGCGTTTGATCGCATCGTATATCGAAGGTGCCCGCCCTCTGGTCGACTTTCAGACAAAGCCTGCGAAGCATGTATTCCACCGTGCTATCATCGCTCACAGATACGGCAGTCACGTGAAAACCCGTCGGCGGCAAAATATGAGACGCGTGCGAGCGCCGACCTGGCGACAGCGCGTACAGTGGGCGTACAACGCCTTGCAGACGTTTCGGGAGCCGAGTCCATGTTACACCTATGGTTCTGGATTGAATGCAGCGGATAATGGCACACATTCGGTATGAAACAGTGCTGTGCGTTTGGCGAGTGGGTCGTCGCACGGCAACATTTCGTACATGAGCCAAGAGCTCCACAGTTTACGCCCCCGGAAGCATTATTACCCGTGCGAGACCTGGTTGTGTGTGAGGAGGGGGGGGGGGGGGGGCGTGGCAGGGTGCTATTCCGCAGCTGCCTTCACCACCGCCTTGCCCGTGTTCTCGCCCTGCAGCATGCCGATGAAGGCCTGTGGCATCTTCTCGAACCCCTCGGTCACCGTCTCCTGCACCTTGATCTTGCCGTCGCGGATCCATGCGGCCATCTGCTGGACGCCCTTCTGCCAGAGGTCCTCCTTGTCCCAGCGCGACACGATGAAGCCCTCCACCCGCAGCTGCTTGAAGAGGATCGTCTTCTCGGGGACTTCCACCTTGACCTCCTCGCCGGTCTTCTCGTTGTAGCTGGAGATGCAGCCGCAGACGGAGATGCGACCGAACAGGTTCATCTGCTGCCGGATGCGCTGGCTGAGCATGCCGCCCACGTTGTCGAAGTAGCAGTCGACGCCGTCGGGCGCCGCCGTCTTCAGCGCCGCGTCAATGTCGGGGCACGTCTTGTAGTTGATGGTCGCGTCGAAGCCGAGCGTCTTGAGCCAGTCGCACTTGGCGTCGGTGCCGGCGAAGCCGACCACGCGGCAGCCCTTGACCTTGGCGATCTGGCCGACCAGGCTCCCGACGGCGCCAGCAGCGCCCGTCACCACCACCGTCTCGCCCTCCTTCGGCTGGCATAGCTCCAGGAAGCCGTAGTAGGCCGTGTTGCCGGGCATGCCGCAGGAGCCGAGTGCGTACGAGTCGGGCAGCCCGCCCAGCTCGGGCAGCGGCCGCACTCCGAACACGGCCGGCGGCGTGTCGCCCTTCACCACGGAGCGCGAGCGCCAGCCGAGGGCGCCCACCACGCGGCTGCCCACCGGGAAGCGCTCGCAGCGACTCTCGAGCACGCGCGCCGACCTGCGAGCCGATCATGGTGGTCGGCGGCTGCAGGTTCCGCGAGTACGGACGCATGTACGGGTCAACGCTGAGGTACTCGGCCTCGCAGAGAAACTCGCCCTCCTGCAGCTCGGCCAGCTCCTCAGACTCCAGCTGGAAGTCGGACGGCTGCGGCCAGCCGTCGAAGTGGCGCAGCAGCGTGAACTTCTCGGCCTTCATGACGAGCTGCCGGGCGCGAGTGGGGCGTCAGGCGGGTCTGGCGAGCTGCCGGACTCGGGCGGGTCTGGCGAGCTGTCGGGCGTCAGGCGAGACTAGCGGGCGCGCGCGACTCGTCGGCCGAGGCGCGCAGCGGTCACTATCGCTGGCGAACGGTTCTGAGCGCAGGCTGCGCCACCGACGCGCTTATAAGCACGACACAGGGTCGGCGCCGGACGGCACTACGTCAGCCATTAGCCAGGTGTTGCGACGGCTAGCCAGGAGCGGCTCGGCGCTGACTCATCGACGATTAGCTTTGAGTCAGGTCGCGTCGCACAACACAGGCCGCGTCGCATGAATGCCGTCGGCATTTGGCATGGGCAGAGGAATGGCTTTTTATCTTTGTAACCGGCTGGCAAGGAGTGACCAGAAGGTACTACATGATTTGGTATGACGAGCCACATTTCGAGAGGCCGAGTTTACCGCGGGTTATGTAAGTCGTCATTATGGACAGATGTAACTGGTTGCAGGGGCGGCACCACGGATTTTCCGTTCAGGCAGCGGTAGAAGTTTCCAACGTGCCTCCAACAAAACTGGGGTCTCCTCATAGGCAGGGGGGAGAGGGTTTCTGGACAGAGGCGTACTCTTAGGGGCACCAGGAGCACACGTCCTTTTATCAGATTGCCAAGGTATGAATATCGAAATGAATTGCATTGTATTGTATTACCCGTATCGCAACGATGCAATAAACCGTACGCTAACGCCAGGAAACAAAATCAATTCGCGGCACTCCCAGCCAAGAAGTGGAAGAGAGTGTCAAGAAGCAAACGAAGAGGCAGCGTAGACGCGGCAGCACCAGTGTCATGCAATAGGTATGATAAGTAGTCTAGTTAACAGAAGGCTGAGGCGGCTATAGTTAGTCAGCTAATGACTCATTGATATGGCCTGGCTGGTTGACCTAGGTCAGATGAAGTGTCAAATCTTACACATTTTCCGAAATGACGCATATCATGCATGTGTGGGTGAAAAACCATTATGCAGACACTGGGCTTCTTTACCGCTACATTTGATAGCTACGCAACTGTTAGTGCACGGATCTAACAATACCTGCATTTCCACAGTCAGGTTAGGTAAGGTCACGGGATCTAGCGTTTAAGTTAAACCGTTCGCTTTTCGACTCGACGTCGACGACCTCTGATCACAGCGGGAGTCTGCCGGCATCGCAGTTTTGCGTCCCATTACGACTTGGACGCACATCGCTCGCTTGTCACCCGGACTGTTTTCAGATGATGTTGCGAACTTTGTACAAAACGGCTGCAGTGCTTGTATTATGGCGCGGATCAGGCAAGAGAATTGCCCGGCATCTACCGGTTTGCGGCGTGATTCGTGGTGGATCGTATCGCAGCCCTCCTTGCATTACCTGAAATTTAGTTTTGGCTCTTGGGGGAGAGAGCAAAAATATTAAAATCACGGCTTGCAGTGAGAACAAAATAACCCAAGCGAATTTGCAATACATTCACAGCTGGCACTAAAAGACATTCTTTGGCAGCAGATGACAGCAAACACCATGCTCAAGCTGGTCTCAGTGATTGCCAAAGACCATTAGAAATTGGCTGCTTGCAATTCTTAAACTTTCCAGCTTCCTAAGCAAGTGCTTCCTTCCGTGCTTCTCCCTGGTAGGCCGAAAGACGCTGTTGTTTTGGGTGCGGGATCGAGCCCGGTGTGTGATCACGTAGGTGTCGTTGGACAGTAGGCGAGTTGAACATGTGCTGGTGAGCAGCAACAGGCCTGGGCACTGAATGCATTGCGAGGAAAAATTGTGTGATATGGTAAGGAGATTCGGCTGTAACCCGCAGGCAGTATCCCTCATTCAGTTGTGAGTGTGGTGGGTGATGCTGTCGAAGTTGCAGAAACAGCTTGCCTCCATCTGATGTCACTCACAGAGTGAATTTTTTACATTCTTTCCAGCATATATTTGTGGAGAACAAAATGTCTTGGGGCCACAAACACCAAGAAACACCCAAGTTTCAGACACCGCCTGCTTGGGTTTTGTTGGCTTTTGCCCTTGTGGAACCTGATCATCACTAGTATAAATACCTGACCTTAAAAGAACACACACCAATGATGTTTATGAGATATGAAAAACCATGTATAATCATAAGGTGGGGGAATCTTAGGGATACCATATCTTTAGTCAGGGTATACATTGCTACATCATGTTAAAAAAGAGCATTGTACACCAATCGTCGTTTTTAAGGCTGAACATATCGCAATTAATCAGTAAAACAAGTCATCATAACTCTTACCTTAGAACTTAACTATGATAGCGAACATCCAGCAAACATCCGGGTGCGGCAAACACCCATCACCAACCAGCACCCCAGCCCATTGCTATGCTGATCACCAACATTACTGTGTGATCACACTACTGCACATTAAGACCTATAAAAATGCACAAGGCCAAGGTAACAAGAATCCAATGAAATGTTTTTGTGTATTCAAGGGGTCTCCTGTATTGTTTGTACATTTGTTGACATGGTGGGGAAATATTACGTTCTTGGGTGGGAATGAAAAGCAAAATGAGAATATGGCAGATAAAACTTCAAATATGGTACATATATGTGGCATGGAACATGGATGTCAATGGGATACTGGACTGCAGGGGATAGGATGGGGGTTGGGTTAGGTTAGGTTAGGTTGGGTAAGGTAAGGTTAGGTTAGGTTGTTAGATTAGGCTAGGCTAGATTAGGTTAGGCTATGTTAGGTTAGGTTAGGCTAGGCTGGTTTAAGCTAGGTTCTGGACTATTCTGGACTGTCCATTTCATAGACGTACCTAGACGCGGCAAGAAAGGTTTTCATGCATTATTATTGTTACCTTGGCCCGTACATTTTTATCGTTCTTGATAAGCAGAAATATTGCAATTACGTAACGACAAGGCAGAAACGGCGCTGGGGAGTCGATGCGGCGGAGTGCGTGCGGTGCTCGGGAGACTCGCTGTCGTAGTTATTAAAAGTTGAAGGCAGGAGCATGCACCTACCTGTTTTACGATTATTTACGATATGTTCCGCCTTCAACACGACAAATTATGTACAATAATTTTATCTAACAGCCGGTACCAATGTATACCTACACTTTATCTTCTTACCTCGAAATTAGATAGCGACGGCGCGCGCCCGACGCACTCTGTGGCGCTGACACACTAGTGACCAAGGCCGTGTAATAGGGTATGATCATTCGGGGATTTTTCCCGTACTTTCTCCTCGCCATTACAGTGACGTCACAAAGTCGTAGGCTGGCATCCCCGCCCCTTCCGCATTGCCTTTGCGTCTGCCGCACCAGTGTACCTACGACCAGATGCATCTGGTGATTGCCGCAGGGCACTTCAAGAAGTGCGATGAGGAAATATGGAAGAGAGAGTTCTTGCCACGCTGGGTTTATAACAGCAAACATAGGCCTAGGAACCGGGAGCCCATGTGCCATGCCCCTCCCACCTGCTGGGGATACCTAACATTGAGTCCATAGCGATGCATTGAAATTGGCCAGCCCACAGCTGCTCAAATCCGGGCTGGCGAACCTGCTCAAGGTCCAGCCACTGCCAAAGGAGGAACTATGCGGCACCAGGATCATCATCCGATCTGTCGCGTTGAACCTCAGCAGTATACATAATGACGCGCCGGGTCGCACTGGTGTGATGGAGGCAGTTTGAGACGACGGAAGTGGCGTGTTGCCTGGTAGAACATAGGACATTGTGGACATTGCATACTGCGTCAACTGTACTTCGAAGCCCCCGAAGGTCGAGGCGCGTAGCGTTTATCTATATCACATGAGTCACGCCACCCTGCCAATGCATCGTACACCCGTATGACTTTATACTATGAAGCCCCGGAAGGTCGAGGCGCGTGGCATTGATCAATATCAGATCAGTCACGCCACCCTGCCAATCCATCGTACACACGTATGACTCCTAATTAACCGTCCCTTATTTAAAGCAATTCTTGCGCACAATATGCACTCCATTGTGCACACTTGGCGAGTACATAAAGCAAACAGGGGGGGGGGGGGGGGGGGCGGGTGGACGGCGGAGAACACAACAATAGACTTTCAGCTTAGCTCTAGAAATACGCGATAAGATAACCCGTCTAAAACAACCCAAATGGTTCTCTGCGAAAGAGCCGTCTATGTCTCGGACACACAAGCATACAAACCAAAAAAAGAAGGCACAACGATGCTCATTCAAGCCCATCAACGTATGTTCACGTAAGCACAACGATGCTCACATTGTGCTGTCCACGCGCTGTCGCACTTGTTTGGCTGCGCGCCTGGCAGCAGCCCGCTCAGCCCTAGCTTGATTGAGCCATCTGAGGCGGAGATGGATGCGCGTCGTCACCAGCTTCTGCTTGCTTCCGTGCGATCCGCTTGTCCAACGCAGAAAACTTTTCAGCAGAGGCTTAGTGAGACGGTCGACAATACCAATGTCTCGGTCCATTCCTCGGCCCATCACTAGCTGGAAAACAACCTCGAAAGTCTCGACGACGTTCATCCAGGCCGGCGACGGTACCACCAGGCCACCCCGACTAATCGTGCGTATCCAGGTGTCTGGCACACAGCTGGGTGGTGCTTCTCGGGTCGACAATCCCATGTTTGGATTGAGGTGCTTCCACTTGGCTGCCACGAAGCCGGCAACGAAGGCCAGCGCCTCGTGCTCGATGTTGGCCTCGTCCGTGTCGGCGCCGCAACAGTGGACATTTTCGGTTCTTTCCCCGTCACCGCCATGGAGCTTGTGTTCGCCCGACTCGTTGACCCCGTCGTCCTCTTCGAATTATTCCAGGATGGGCACTGGGGGAATCGCAACTGCTTGTTGGTAGGCGGCCTCCACGTCGTCCGCATGCGCTGCCGCTTCCACCACAGCTGGATCTTGGATCTGCGACACAACGAAGCGCAGACATTTTGAAGTACCTGACAGGTGCATTAATCAGACCCTATTACAAGTCAGTAGTTTCGTTTGCCATTGCGACAGCAAAGCGCCTTGGACCCAGACTTGTCCATTCTTTTGTTATCGCATCCTTGTTTTATACACCAACATTTTTTGTGGTCCAGCGTGACGTAATCCGAGCGCATAAGAGGGACGTTCAACGACCGACGAGCGCTGCGCTGCGTGCACCGCATTGATATCTACGGCTTATGTTTTGTACGTGACATTTGAACGTGTGATCAAACCGGGCCAGTTGAGGGGTGAGGCACAAATAATTACGCCGAAATATTGCGTGCGGATCCACCCAGCGTTCCGACAGACTCTCCGTGTTCGATGTAGTGAGCTCCGTTCCTTTGCAATAGTACTACTGGAATTCAGTGACATTTTTATCATTATCGGAAAACAATGGTAATGCATCCAGACAATGGTCAGCAATGCTACCTGGATCTGGAGACCCTGCAGAGCTTCGATTGTCAGGTTGTCTGGTTGGTCCAGACGCTGGCCTGTGCTAAGGAAAGCTGTGTCTGGCTCCAGTCGAACGGCTGCGGCCTTGCTTGTTGGCAACTACCATTGGAGATGGCGCCATCAGCAGCACTCGTATCCTCCATCGCGCCTCCACCGCGTCAGGTGCCGTGTTGGTGCCGCCAAGAGCACGGATTTGTGAAAAGCCATTCACCAAGCAATCCTGATTAAGATGTGATGTCAGGATGTACCCCAAGGCGGGAGTTGTTCGCTGGAGCTCTTCGTACAGGCCGCGGAGCGACGTTATACTCCGCAGTGTGCCCTTTTGAAAGGGGAGTAGCGCCACGCGGCCGTCAGGATGCCTTGGTGTAAACTTCCGCATCCCATGCACCAGCTTCTCCATCTCCGCCAGGGCCCCGTCCTGCGCCACCTTTGCTGCCAGCGTGATGCCGTAGCCGCAGCGCTCCGGCTTCGCATCGTAAGGCGTGCGGCTGTTGTTGGTGTCGAACCAGCGGGCGGTGGTGAGTACTGCCTCAGCCTGCGCCCCACGGCAAGGAAGATAGGTGGCGATGCCGGTCCCCACAGACTGGGAGAACAGCTGCGTCGCCAGTCGCACTCCCTGGGCGCTTTGTCCGGAAGCCTGGGAAAGGCAGTAAATCACTGTCAACGTGCGGCACCGCGAGCCGTGCAGCGAGCTTCTCGCCCATGGCTGCGACCTCTGTTGCTTCGATATGAAACCAGATACTGGAGGCATTTTCTTTATGCAAAATTCGTACACTCCCTGGCTCAACAAACGTGACCGGTAATATTAGGAGTTGGGATCTCTCGGGTCACGGCTCGCTGCACCGTTACCCAAATGCCGTCGCATGAAGGCATGACATTTTTCGATAAAGGCATGTTGCCGAAATAATAACGGATCTATGTCTTCACTTTCCTACTTTTCTCCGAGGAATAAAGCTATTATTACTGCCTTATCTACGTAAATATGCTCTTCGCACATGCACTGAGCAGCTTATGTGATTTCCTTTTTCAGTTTCAGTGTAAAAAAAATATTTGCGATCGCAAAAGCTACACACCCGGATAGTATTCTGTGGATCATTATTGCGGTACCGCTCTAAGAACGTGTCAATGGTTTAGGTACGTAAGAAAGCGTCTCGGGTCATATCTCGTGACCCATAAATCAGGGAAAATAAATATTGTGCCACATGAGTTCTACGCATCAGATAACCCCTGTTGCCAATTTTCAGTGGAATCCGAGACACGATCGTTCCGGTCGTTCTGCGGTTGGTGGGTGACCACGCCAAACTGTGCTTGTGCTCAAAAGCAAAATTCGACATGCAGTTTCTGATCTCACCTCACCAGACCGATCTGACCACGGCAGAGCACGCAGATGGTTCAGTTATGGCTTCTCACCTCAAGGTGGAAGCTTGTCAGCTTCGGACAAATCATCAGCTCGCCTCCGTCAACAGCCAGCGGCTCGCTGAATGTGGCCCGGCTAAGCAGGGCTTTGCTACCACGTCCGTCTGGGACCAGTAGCCCCCCATCTTCCGCCACGGCATGGCACCTCATAAGCTTGACAAGGTGAGGGGTGTCAGCGAACAACCACACCTTCCTGGAGGAAAAAGTACACGATAACATTAACGTTGAGCCTGACGCTTTGGGTGCCTGACCACAGTAGGTCTAGCGATTCGAGTACATTCGTACATGTGATTAGATATGGGATCCCTGATATTTCAGCAAAGACCAAACCGGTAATCCTAAGTAATCCGATGACCCCAGGGCAATGCACGGCACTTCGCTTCTTAGATATCGAATTAACATGCTCATAAACAAAACATGCTCCACATTACAGATAGGACGAAGACAAAATGACTTAACACTAGCCGCGTTTGTATGAGCTATCGAACAATGCGCTGACTGCCTTGGGTGTGTCATAGATGTTGTAGCAAGATGTGCAGACTACTGAGAATTTAGGTGACGTATTTTACTGTAATTTTAGGTGTCAGCCTTGCGGTCAACATATAAGTAAACAGACTGATAGATACATAAGTGAAAAAACAATACGTAAGGTTCCGGGAAAAAATATCACCGTCCTGGGTCAGCGGGGTTAGTAATCCACGTCTTGTTAGCCGTCACGCCTGCTTTACGCCACATGAGTTCGTTCGGAGTCCCCATGTCGGATACAGCGGCGACCACGTGGAGGCTGAGCGTCTCCAGCACGTTGATGACATCCGTCAGTGTTTCTTGGGTCATCGGTTCATCGAAACCGTAATATAACGGTTGCTTCCATGACCCACAGAGGGACCGAACCAGGAGCAGCTGCAGTTTCGAAGCTGACAGCAGCTGGTCGGCAGGGAAGTCGTAGCAGACTCATCCGTCCAGCGCCATCTCGCCGAACGACATAACGCAGAGACGCTAGATGTCACTCATGCCCTGGGCGGCCGCCTTCAGAACCGTAACGGCTGCCTCCATCACCCCTGGCGTGACGCGAAAGTGACGCGTCCTCCAGGACAGGGTGAGTGAGGATGGGAACGGCAGGCGCAGGACGGAGTTGACGTATTCGTAGGCTTTGCGGCTCCTGCATCGCAGGCCTAATGCACGAGATAAGTCCTGATTTGTCCACTGCACTCGACGAGAGGAGCAAGCAACACTGCGGAGTTGCTTGCTTGTCAGCACTCCAAGCTTCACCAACCTGTCCAGCGTCGACGCCTTCCCCTCAGCGACTCTCAGACGCCTCTTCATGGAGAGCATTACTCGCCGCCCCT